CTTTTTAGATCTAGATAAGGTACTGGTCAGCAGCAAACCGACCACAAAACCAATAAAGGCTGTGAAAATAAAATGATTTTTTTAGACGATAGTGGATGAACATGACATCAACTAACTCGGAAATCAATAAAGCGGAGGAAGTGTCAATGACCAGAACGTATAATGGGCTAGTATGAACAGAAGTGGGACATGTATGATGCCGTACTTCGTATTCGGGTATTACTGGCAGGTCTGACTTCACTACCAAATTGTAAGCAAACTTAAAAAACGTCGCAAAATACACCAGCACCTATAACGTCCGGTTACCTTTAAGAGCAGGGGAGTTTTCGCCGACTTCAGCTGACAGACTATCTCGCGCAGAGCCTCGCTCAGGTGTGGATATCTATACATTTGGGTTAGTGGGCCTTAGAAAAGTTCACAAACGATTTCATCCGCTCAGATGTTGATTGTTCGACGAATAAATCGGCAAGAAGTTCACCGGCAAAAAGACTGGCCATGGAGAGATCGCCATTCAGAAGGATATTGAACAGCACTTGAACCGTAGTATGAAAGTTATGGCCCTCGAAAAACTAAAAAAGAAACAAGTCAGACGTGGCTACTTATAACTCACTAAGAGACGTTGCTTGGAGAAAAATAAAAATAAATGTGACAACCCTGTTAACAGCGTAGTTAGCATTTAACTCGAACATTTGAGTAATTCTGTATAAATATTCTGTTAAAACTTTCAGGGAACGCAAATGAGGTATCAAAAGACGATGTACTGCGCAGAAAATTGGGAAAACGTTCCCGACGCGAGAAGCTCTGAAGGCATCCATAGATGTAGACGAAAGACACCACAAAACAACAGCAATGCTCAGTAAACCGGGAAGCAAGTGCAGCTAATCTTCAGACTGGTGTTTAAAGTACGAGACAATAATTGTAATAGGGGGTGTAAGCAACTAGTGGCGTTTATACAAACACAATGTCCAGAAGTTACCCAAGTACTGGAGACGTTAGTGCGACCTATGTATGAAGTCATACTTGAGGAGCTGAGAAGGTAACTTGGAGGCCAGGCAGTGGATGGTCGAAAGGGTGCCCTTATAAGCAGCCTGAATATCTTCCACGAGAGTCCGAATGACCGCCGCACACAATCAATTTACAAAGCTCCTTGAAAATTAATCTACTGACATGGGCTGTCAATTTAACGATGCAGGATTTTGTTCCCTTTTTCAACGAGTAAATTAGCTTTGTTGAAATTCCATTATTTAGCCACGCAGTTTATAATGCAGCTCAGAAGCGCGTTAGATAACGCCAGGATATACGAAGAAAAAGGGCGCGAGAAGAGCGCCGTTCGTGAGATATTAGAAACTGCTGACGCTGAAGAATCGACCACTGAAAACAATTTCTCCACCTGGGTTTTCAAGTTGGTTTGTCATCGATTTCTGAACTCTAACAGATGAAACTCGGGATGCGTATCTTCTCGGTTAATCATGATTGGTCCGCACTTGGTTGGAATTCTATTTGAAAAAGCAGACATAATTTAATTCAGACATGCAAAGTCGAATTTCCATACTCTGTTTGAATATGACCGGAATACTACTTGTTAGCTCTTTTAACTCTCAGTTGCCTTTCACCTTTAAATCAACAATCTAGCGTCCACTGTGCAGTTCTGAGTGGGACCACTAATTGGCGTAAGCATGGCTGTTTAACGGTTCCAAAGATCATATGCCATTCCTGACGATCGGCTTGACAAAGAAGAAGCTGGCAAAATGATGCAGTGTTTACAGAGGAAATACTGAAACACTACAATACAATTAAACGACACTGCTAGAGATGAAGCCTTTTCTCAAGAAACTCGACTACAGAGTAAGCGGTTCTTATAAGGTCCAAAACTAGGCTTTAATAAAGTCCAAGGGTTTGCGCTTCTATTCGTGGAAGTCCTGCACCAGATCGCCTCCATCGGAAGACCAATCTGATATATCAATTTGCAGATATAAAGAGTACCTCGTTGTCCAGAAATTAAAAAGTCCGCAAACTTGAGGTCCTTAGAGGAAGTATCTAGCTAACACGTCTGCTGAATTCTCAAATGAGCAGTCAGTCCGTGAGAACACTGAGTTCATGCAAACTACGCATTCGACTGGGCAAGTAGGTTGCCAGATGGACACAGATATTTCTGGAAGGAATTAAGGAGGCCGTGATGTGTTAAAAATAAACACTTGAAAAAGCCTACACTTCGTTTCTCAAAGAAGAGCTAATTCAAAAAGCCCCAATGTTGGAGGATCGTGTAAGATGGCCACAGTTTAGATTAGAATCTGTGATCGGTAAAACTGCACCTTGTCGCTGGCCGCCCAAAGTTGGAAACGTATAGTCATTGAGAATACAAGTGCCAGTTCATTCGTTGGCTCGGAATTCATGATCCGCATCAGGAGCTTTCGAAGTGCCTCGAAATCAGACTTCAGTGTACTTCCAAAAAACACACTAGACCTACCCTATCTCTCAAAATCTTTTGAGCAACAGCAGGAATTCGACAAAAGTTTGCAAGAGTCCCAAGTGCAATCTCACTAAATTGGTCTCCATCGGACTTCTGAAGTAGTTTCACGGTCTGACGAGCACCAACAATAAGGACATCATCGTTTGGAACTAAGCACATTTGATGGAGGTCTACCGTGCATTTGAAGAAAGCATCTAGCACCTAAAAAGAATATAAGCCGAAGAAACTTAACCTCGCTCCATATCTGATCGTGCTGCCAGAGTCGTATCCCATTAGCAAGCGGCATAAGAATCGAAAACCTCGCAACTAAGATGGGCCTGTTAAGTGGGTTTTCGGCTAAGGAATGCGGTTAGATAGGGTAACTACCTAGTTTGGAAATTATACGGAGGGCTAACGAACGCAAAGCCACTCCTGAAGGGGAACAAAGGGCAAACGAAAAAAATGAGTTAATTCGCGCATATATCGAAGGGTTTAATGTCTCCGTGAGATCCTGGGGAGCTTTCAGAACCTTAAAATATCCTAGAAAAGTTGCAGTACATCTGTCAATTTCTCCGCGGAGTCTGTAAAACCATTATGCTTCAAATTCTCAAATGCCGTCAAAAATTCGATGAGGCCCATCACAGTGTAACAATGGGCTCGCGTGTATGTACTCAGTTCAGTCAGAGTCAGTTACTCCGCTGCAGGATGCTGTATTTATCCGAGAACACGACTCTCGATTAACATGTTATTGTTCTGCAGAATCTACGAAGAACATGACCCAGTCTTGGTCTTCGCGTTTTTTATACAAAGTGGGTAGAAGTTATTGGGGGAGAGTGCATCAGAGGGACAATCCACTGGGTCCAGAGTGATTTCCTAGGAATACTAACGCCTATAGTACATAACAAAGTTTTAAACCGAAAACCAAGCAGCCAATTAATCAAAATGACTGGAGACAGTGGAGGAAACGAACACAAGGTATCGAAAAGATCAGACGTAGCGTTTGTCAACTTTATAAGCAAAAATATATTTCGTAAAAACGTTGGGCGGGGAAGTTGAAAATGCCGCTTTTACTATAGTGAACGAGCTTGCCCTCAGATCCCAAGACACGAATACGTTATATATGTATCTTAAGATATACCGTTGTAACCACCCTCCGCACTTTCTAAATAACGTCGTGTACACATTATTGGTCTGAACAGCGTCAAAGGACTGACTTCAATATTATGAGCTAAACTACCTTGCCAGCACGTGGCCCCCGAAGTAGGTGGGGCTGAGAGGAGGCTAGTAAGGGGATGCCTCTGCGATTTAAGCCATGTGTTAGGAATTACAGAGAGGCAATCTACCGTTTACACTAGTCTACCTTATCGCAGAGATAAGCCAATTAGGCGAAATTAAATAATAAATTTCGTATAGACCTGTCGTTGCAACCTACTCGGGTGGTTTTTTCATCAATGAATAAAGACAGGGCTTTGCTTAAGTGCATCGCATGGACAGCACCAATCTGCTGAGTAAGATGCGTGGTGAACGCCGTTCGTCCTTCAACTGTCTAATGGTGTCGACCAGTGTTTTCATGTGAAACAAAATCCTTTCGACATCTTTTATGTTTGCAGTTTATAATTATTGGAATTACTGTCTAATTTCAAGGTTCTGGGGACCAGTCAGATTTATTAGCTGAATGATACCTCTCGAAAAAGTCTGCGCGTCTACGCTTCACATATACCCATTCTATATTATTTTTGTCCAGTGGAAGTAAATATGAAGCGTAATTACTATGGATACCACCGGAGCATTATATACAAGCGTATTAAGAGGGACATGCAAACATACTGTGCCGCTGTTGATGAACATCAGTGCTCGGTCCCATCATCATAATCATTGTTGGGAGTGCCTACACTCCCAAAAACAAGAGCCAGCCAATCACGGGAGGCCACGTGCGTTTTCTCTACTGCGCTGTCATCTTAATCGTGGCGCCTCTCCATTGGCTTTTCCTCTCGGGCCTGATCGATCAGCATATTCGANATTGTTCAAATACGGCTCCCAAATTTACAAGGGAGCTTGATCTTAACAGTAAAGATGAGCCAGTCCTTGAAGCACAACCGACTCCCAGCACTCAGAATAGTGATTTAGTTAATAAACTTACATCAAATCCAACCCGTTCCCACGCCTGGCCACTCAGGTCTGACCTCGTGGTTAGGTCCAATAAGCTAGATGATAGTGCAGGGAGATCTTATAGCGGCCTACCCTCACCCACTAGCCCCTACTTTCCTTCTAGGCTCCCTCCTCCTCCCCTTCCTCCTCAATTTAACTACCAACAAGTCTGTCCATATTCTAACTCCCCTAGCATTCCAATGTTTGAAAACTATATCCCCACATCCTTTAGGTCTCATACTCAGCCTTCTCTTGTTGATTCCCTGTACGTCAATAACTCTAGACTAACTGGTACTTATTCTCCAAGTGTCATTAAATCACAGCTTACATATCCGCCCCCAAATTGTTTTAAATACCGTCGAAAATAGCATTGCCGTTCGAAACACATTAGATATTATATTATTGAATGCCAGGTCAGTTATAAACAAGATGGCCCAAATCAGAACCATTGCTCTGGAGATGACGCCTGATATTATATGTGTAACAGAATCTTGGACCCATTCTCTAATTCCTGATTCTGCCCTTCTCATAGATGACTTCGAGTTTTACCGCCAAGACCGCACGACTAGGCGTGGGGGTGGTTGTCTTCTTTATCTTAAATCCTACCTAAAGCACTCTCCCTATTACTTGGATGTTTCCTCATTCACGGGAAACTTCTGCTTTGCATCTGTTTTTCTCTCGCCGCAAAGAAAGGCAATTATTGGCTGTATCTACAATCCCCCAAATTCTTTAGCCAGTGATGATTCACAACTCTGGGAAATCTTAAAATTAATTTCGGAAGCTGCTTTCGATGTTAAAATAATCACTGGGGATTTTAACCTTCCTGAAATAGACTGGGTTTCTAATAGCTGCCCACCCAGATTCCAGTCGTTTCAAGATATTGTCAATTTTTCCAATTGATCCCAACTGGTGCGCTCTCCAACAAGAGATAATCATATTTTAGATCTAATCTTTACCAATGACATTGCTCCTCTTTCTGTTGCTTTAAAAAATGACCTCTTTGACTGTGACCACGTATTAATTCATTGTTGCTTACCGCTTGCCTTTTCAAAAAAGACAAGCGTCCTTCGGACTTACATGAACTACGACTGCATAGATAACGAGTTAATAAATAACTACATAAGATCTTCGGATTGGTGTGGCTTCCTCACTTGTAGCGATGCATCCATTCTTCGTGATGCCATGTCCAATGTTTCCAGGGACATTCTTGAGTTTGTGCCGCGTTGATATCCCAAGCCTAATTCTTCAGATTCCCTTGTTCCCCATTTTCTTTACAAAAGACTAAAAATGTTGAGGCGACAGCTGCTGGACCCATCCACTAGTTCCTTATCTGTTCATCTTAGAATCACAGAGATATTTGAGATGGCCTCAAGGATGCGCCAAGCGCGCGACAGACAAAGAGAATCAATTGCTGTCAGTGGTTCGAACAACACCAAATCCGTCGCTAACATCTTCCGTCATCGGTCCTCCTCTAAGCGTGGTCACGAACTTCCACCCCTGCTAAATGATAACAAAGTCTTCCTCACCGATGACACTGACAAGGCGGAGTTGTTTAGTGCTTTCTTTGCAAAACACATTACTACCGAGTCCGATCTGGTCCCTTTCTTTCGATCACTTGCAGATAGGACACTTAGTAGAATTGATGTCTCCTCAGATCTCATTAAGAAACACATAAGCCGTTTGAAATACTCACACAGCTCAGGAACGGACGGGATTCCGAATTCGATTATCAAACAAGCGTCCGACTTTCCCATATTGCTTAGTCATTTATTCTCTGTTTATATTTCAAAAGGATTCTTTCCTGAAACATGGAAAACGTCAATTATCATTCCCGTTTTCAAGTCAGGATCTCGGTCCGATGTTAATAACTATCGGGGCGTGCACAAAACGCCATCTCTAGCAAAGCTTCTTGAAAGGATTATTTTCAGTGAAATTCATGACTTCTGTCTAGCTAATCGGCTTCTGAGCTCTAGTCAGCATGAATTTTTACCTGAACGATCCTGCGAAACACATCACTTGGCTTTTCTTAATCTAATCACCTTTCTTCGTAATGAGCGGCAGTCAGTGGTAGTTATTTACTTTGATCTTAGCAGAGCCTTTGACAAGGGGCCCCATAGAAGTCTTTTAGTAAAATTGGAAGCCCTCGGCATCCGGCCGCCTCTACTCGACTTCATCAGGTCCCGTCTGTCCAACCGATATCAGAAAGTCATGGTCGGTAACAGCTACTCGACACCTCACTCGAGCACGAATGGCGTACTTCAAGGCACGGTTCTGGGTCCGCTACTCTTCCTTCTGTACATCAATGATATTTCGACTGAACTCGGAAATTCGCAAACTTTTACTTATGCCGATGACCTCAAGTGTGTTTACTCATACTCTAAGGACACCGCAAATGTTTGTGTTGAATACATTAATGTCGATTTACTACGCTTAAGCAGATAGGGTTCGACATGGCAGATGGAGTTTTCATCATCCAAGTGTAGTTTCATGTCTTTTGGTCCTACCAAACTTCCTGGTCCCATAATTTTTCAGAATAACCCACTCTCAGAATGCCTCATCATAAAGGACCTAGGTCTAAGTTATACAAATAAGCTTGCTTTATCACCTCATGCAGATAAAATCTCTGCCAAAGCCGCGCAGCTATGTGGATTCATATCGCATAATTTTTTCCTTCCGGAAATGAAGCTAAGACTTTATCAAATGTTTGTTATTCCAGTCCTCGAATACTGCTGTCCTTTCTTCGGTTTGATGAACGCCTGCGACCGAAATAAAATCGAAAATGTTCAGAGGGTTTTCACCCGGAAACAGTTCTCTCAAGCTTCGTCCAGTATTTCTTATACTCAGAGATGTCAGCTGGCGAACATGAAGTTTTTGTGGGTTAGAAGACTCGAAGCTGGCCTTTGCTTCCTTTTTCGCATCAACTCTAGCTCCAGTCTTCCGCACATTGACACTCTCACTCCGAGAGATCGGTCTTATGCCACGCGCAACTCCTGCATGTTGATTCCGCCGCCTCTTTGTACTACATCTAAGAG